CCCAGGTGCTCCTGTTGGCGCCCCATCCTGGGTTGTTCCCCCCAGGTGCTCCTGTTGGCGCCCCATCCTGGGTTGTTCCCCCCAGGTGCTCCTGTTGGCGCCCCATCCTGGGTTGTTCCCTGCCTTGTGCCCATAGGCTCCAGTCCCCCATAACCCTGAATAAGATAAGCGGCTTCAGAGAATGGATGGTTGGATGATAGTATATAATTCCTTATGAAGAATATATGGGCATATTTCAGAATCATTTAGGAAAATTTTGAATTTCATTTCTGAACATTTTTAGGATTTTCAAGAAGGGCGCAATGTACTATAGTGTGTATTTGCCATAGTTTACAGGCTGTACCATAATTCAACATGTAGAGACAAGGTCCTGCTCTCTCTCTCTGATATGGAAAAATAATATCAATGCAAGTGGAATCCCAGTATGCTGGCTGACTTCTACTAGACCCTTAGGAGGGATGCTTCTGAGGCCAAGTACAGCAGAAAATCATGCACTTCGACCTTTTACATGAATCACTGGCAACATGCACATATACTGTAATTATATGTGTAGCATAAGGTTTAATTGTGTGTCACTCAAAATCTTTACACGATAGGTAAATTCTGTTTAAATATTTGAATTCAGCACAAACAATTCTATTTTGATCTGTGAAGCAAATAGTTGTTGACCAGTGTTTTCACTCTTGCAGTTGGGAGTATATTTCAAAGAAATGCTAAATTAGAATACAAAATACGTACGAATACAATGCAATACCAAAACTGGTGCAATCCATTTTTATTTTTTTTCTTTGATGCTTGAGGGTTGCCAGTTCTCACGCATTAGGTGTGACGCTGTAGGACTTTCACGTTCACGCAAGTAATCTCACATGAAATATATATTATTCCATTTTAAACATAAAATTAGCTCACCAAAAGCATCGGGGTAGTTTACAAACCCTACAGACTATTTTGAAGGTAATAAAACTATTACATACGTTTATATGCGTGTGCAGTCTCGTCTCCAACTGAAAATCCCACTCCAGCCAGCTTACCAAAGTTGGCAACCCTGATGTCTCCTGTCATTTAGTTTTATTACTGAGCATAAAATGTGCGGGCGTCTACTAAATCCACAGAACCAGTTAGGCTTAAAATGTGTCACGTCAGTTTTAACTACCCCGTTCAGGTGTCAATGCCTTTAGCCACTTGTTTGCAAACAAAACAATTCAAAATACAAGTCATCAACATTTTTTCGGTCAACATTTTTTTCAGAGCTGCACTAAGGACAGATCAGCATCAAAAAGTTTACATAAACCTCAAGAGCAAAACGGATGTTAAAATATATACCTTTCTGTCGTGCTAAAGTACAACATTATCACAAAACATTGCACCATAATAATAGTTTTTAAGAGTGTTAATTTAATAGTGTTGCTTTTCATTGTAAGCCGGTATCCCCACTGCCGTAAGTAGTCGGCGTAAAGCTCTGTCGTAACGACTTGCCGTAAAGCGGCCATGAACCTGCTGGGAACACAAATAAAAAAAGTGTCGGTTCATCGGGGACTGTGACCCGCACGAACCCAAGCCGGGTGGCTGGCCATCAAAGTGCGCGAGTACCCTCGCTTTATGCACTGACTCTAACAGCATTTTTCAGTCAAGCTTTCCCCGGTTATTATTTATTTGTTTTGTGGATTTTCGTCGATTTGTAGTTATAATTTGATGTGAAGCCGAGCCCCTCTTTGCTTCATAGCTGTTCCCCAGCCATTGCGATGGCCTCCGATAACGGTAATACGGACAGAGAGATCATCCTGGCTGACTTTCAGGTGTGTCCAATGTGTTTATCTCTTCGGATCATTTTCTGTGTGTATATAATCCTAAATTTTTCAATGCAGTGTGGGCGGAGGTCGGGTCGCTGGTCGCTTTCTGGACTGAGACACAAAAACAGATCGGCAATAAAGTGGACGGAACCGCTGGATAGAGAGCCGTTAACCGCGTGGGGGCAAAAAGTTGCGAGGAAAAAGTGCTGGATTCATCAAAAACAAAAAAGTAAATTAGGATAGGATTTGTTTCAGGGATGTAAAACGAATGAAATCCACTCATCCTAATTAATGTGGATCAATGTGGTTAGTGTGATAATAATGATGATAAGAATTGTATTGGCACTTAACATGAATGTAGCAACGCACCCACGTGTATATTTACATAGTATACAGCGTGACAGCGTAAAAAACCTCATATAACTGACATGACTCATTGCATAATTTCTAATACAAGGTTGTTGAGAGAAAAGAAATCAGGAACATCGCCAATAATGACTGTTTTAGATTTGACACTTTGCTTTACCACCTGTCACTTTACTACCATTTGCACATTATGTATGTTACTTACGATTGTCTATGTTTTTATTTTTTTCCTCTTTTGTACTTATGTTCCTATTAACAGTCTTGGATTCAGGCATTTCACTACACATTGTACCTAGGATAAATTTAGGCTACATGTAATAAATAAAACTTTGATTTCAGAGATCATTTGCAAGTACAGTGGTGATAATGTATACATTACGGTAATTTATGTTATTTCCTTAAAACCGTACTGTAAATTACAAACAGGGACTTCTGTCTTGAAGAATTACGCAATCGAGCACTAGTAAAGATTGGTTAAACGCAGAGGCACGTGATTCGCCGTTGTCAGGACGGTAACTGGATATATTCTGGAAGAGCAACGTGTGTTTACTTGCACGGGTACCCGGTCTGATGTAATACGCAGGTCTTTCCAACAGGCGGCATTAGTGTGTTTTTTGCCTGAGATTTTAATTGCTATCTCTGTGTGCTGTCATAAAAACGGTGACATGAAGTAAATCGCCAAGGGACAATGCACTGCTTCTTTTATGTGTTGAATGAAAGCTAAAATCTCAATACCATTCACAGTGTGGCTGAGTGACTGTCAGTGAAGAGATGGACTTGCTTGCTGGATGACTGATACATATATAAGTGATACAACCACTGGGTACTTTATTTTATTTTATTTATTCCCTGTGTTTTTTTATTCCCGAGGCTAAATTCCATGTGGCTTGTCCCATCTGCTTCACAGGCTTGCACCGGTATTGACAACATTGCAGAAGCAATTGCTCTCCTTGAACTGAATAACTGGGATTTGGTGGTGAGTTCTGGATGGATTTTTTTTTTAAATTTCCTACATAATTTTACATTACTGAGTTGCAAGTTTGGTGTCTGATTGCCGGTAAATACCTCTCTCCCCACAGGCAGCAATCAATGTTGTGATTCCACAGGAAAACGGCATTTTGCAGAGGTGAGCGGCGTGGGGCCAAAATCAGCTATCCGAACAGAAAGAGAGTATCAGTGTGACCAAGACATCCCTGAGCGAAACGGGTGTCAGTGTAACCGAGATATCCCTGAGCGACCCAGCTGTCGCTGTGACCAAGACCTCTCTAAACAATACACCCGTCGCTGTGACCGAGTCATCTCAACAATATGGCTGTCACTGTGACTGACACGTCACTGAATGATACGGGTATCAGTGTGACCATGAAATCTCTGAACGATACATATGTCAGTGTGACCAAGATATCACTGAATGATACGGGTATCAGTGTGACCAAGACCTCTCTAAACAATATGGCCGTCGCTGTGACCGAGACGTCTCTGAACAATTCGGCTGTTTGTGTGACCGATGCGTCTCTGAATGATACGGGTATCAGTGTGACCGAGACGTCTCCGAACAATTCGGCTGTTTGTGTGACCGATGCGTCTCTGAATGATACGGGTATCAGTGTAACCTGAAATCTCTGAACGATACATCTGTCAGTGTGACCAAGATATCTCTGAATGATACGGGTATCAGTGTGACCAAGACTTCTCTAAACAATATGGCCGTCGCTGTGACCGAGACGTCTCTGAACAATTCGGCTGTTTGTGTGACCGATGCGTCTCTGAATGATACGGGTATCAGTGTGACCGAGACCTCTCTAAACAATATGGCCGTC